AACTTTGTTGATGAAACTTAAACTTTATGTACTTGCCAAGATTTTCATGTCAAACCATCAAGAAACTAAATTAACGCGGAACATACCTTAATCAATTGATTTCTGACTTGAATAATGAATCTTGATCTGTAAATCTTCAATTTGGTTGTTTCAAACTTCCTTCTTAATTCTTGATTGTGGGTTTATGGATCTTCCTCTTTCTATACTTTCTCTTATATTCTTGTGTTGATGGGATGACATAAAGAATGAGAAAATCACACATGAATTGTGGATCATAACCCTTTATATAGTTCCATATGTATTTGGCCCATCGTCAAATACAAACCCTAATGAATTCGGTCTCTACACATATAGTTCTGCCCACACTTTATTTAGATGCTCAAAGCCCAATTACTTAATTCTTTAGTAGATCACTTTAATTTTGGACTTAACTTTAAGATGACATTTGTACACAGTTAATTACATATATCGGCCCATCATGTCAAATTAAATAATTTCCCAACAACTCATCCAATCGCATTCACGAGGAAGCCTCAAACATTCAAGAATGTTTTAGCATCCGAATAATATAGAGGTTTAAAATAATAGATTGTCGAAACGAAACTGTAATGATAAGATAATCAGGAACCTGGGGATGCTGAGAGATGAGGAAAAAACAAGACCATTAGGATGCAGAGCAGCATATCTTCTTCGTGGAGGTCTCCTGGGGTCCAACAACAAGGGTCTTCCCTTCTTTGAGGCTAGTAGGAGCAGGCTCATCTGAGGAGAGTGACTTCTTACTAATTATCCGATATATTTCTGAAAGGATCATTTGGAAAGCCTTCTCTACATTGGTGGATTCCAGAGCAGATGTTTCGATGAAAGAAAGGCCTTCTTTTTCAGCAAAACCTTGAGCATCCTCTGTGGTAACAGCACGTAGACGTTTCAGATCAGTCTTATTTCCTATAAGCATAATAACAATGCTGGAATCTGCATGGTCCCTCAGCTCCTTCAACCACCAACTCACATTTTCAAATGTAGATGGTTTTGTCACATCGTATACAAGAAGAGCTCCCAAAGCACCCCGGTAATATGCGCTTGTGATGGCTCTATACCTCTCTTGGCCAGCCGTATCCCACATTTGAGCCTTAACGGTTCTTCCCTTAACCTAAGGAGTAAAAACAAGTAAACAAGCACAGCACAGTAAATACATTTGGGGTTCCTATTCAACTAAATGGTGGGAGACGGAGCAAAAACATATATCTATCGATTATCTCAATGTTATTACTTATTAAGCCCTTGTTTGAGTCTATTCTTTAAAACTATTTTTTCTCAAACTCATTTTTAACTACACATGTACCTGATCAAATAATTTTCCACTTACTTTTCGACCATACATTCTATGAAAAGATCACTTTTTACAAAATCTATTATAAAAAATGGGGCTCAAATAGGGCTAATGATATACTGATACAAGGACTATATTAATAGAGGATTTCTTAATGTTATATGCCCATATCAAAACATCAAGATTATGTCCTAAGTTCTCATCGTTTTGCTTCCATGATGAATGAGATTACAAGACACATCCAAGAAGAGTCTCCTTCATATATAGTAAAAAAAAAAAAAAATTTAAGCTCCTGTTTGATTCACATTATTTTCAAAATATATTTTTTTCTCTCTTCTTTCAACCACATATTCTTCAATAAAATAATATTACACGCAAATTCAAAATTTTTCCTTATTTTTCAACAACACATTTTCCATCAATCTACTATTTCAAAATGCATTCTTAATAAAAAAATAATAGGGGTCAAACAAGCTCTNCATATTCTTCAATAAAATAATATTGCACGCAAATTCAAAATTTTTCCTTATTTTTCAACAACACATTTTCCATCAATCTACTATTTCAAAATGCATTCTTAATAAAAAAAAAATAGGGGTCAAACAAGCTCTAAAAATATGTATGGGATCTCCAAAAACATCCTTGTCTTCTAAATTAATATAAAGCTGGACAGATGATTGAATAGGGAACCAAACAAAAAGATAATTATATCTTCATTTGGAACTTGCAGACATAATCCAAAGTGAACTAGGGTCTGGTAAAGGTAATATCGCAAGATCAACAAGTGTATCTATCAGTCAGATCCGACATCATTAAATCAAGAGCTGTACACCAACATTTCAGCAGTTAAGCTCTGCTAACTGTTTCATTTTCGACTTCACGTTTCTTAAATTTTTACTACATTTCCTTTTCTCAAAAGCTATTTTGTTCTGATGAATAAATGGCCCAAATTATATGTCTTGAAGACTGTCAGATGGCACCGAAACTTATCGTATACAAAAGCTAGCCATTCTACATATCAATTCTAGCAACTGGACATATTTTGTCAATGTAGTGTGAAAACGTGATACATGGAGTCATAATTAATTTAGCAAAAACAAAGAAGTTTCCTTTTGAACGAGAGAACAAGTTCTCAATATACTTAGAATTTTCTATCAGCCATCCAGCAGCCATCCATTACAAGCAAATCGAAAAAGAAAAGCTTTTGCAAAATTTGAGAGAGAGAGTCCTTCATATCTATGCCCTCGGAGGGGCTTTCAAATCTTGGCGTCCAAATGCTGTGTAGCAGGGACGGACCCAGACCATTTGTCTTGTGGGTCAAAAATGAGAATTCAAAAATATTTAGAACTAGATGTCATGCCCACGAAATGCAAGTCCTTGTTGTAGAAGTAATCTAACGCAATCAATTGACGCATTCAGA